TTGCGGGCGCACTTCTGAGACGCTCGGCTGGGAGTCGGCGCCCGGATTGAGGGCGAGTCGGAGGCGGCCAAAGGGATCCGATCTGCCTTTCCCGAGAGTCGGTCTCGTCGTCGACCGGTACGCAGCGCTGATACAGCCGACAGAGAAGACCAGTTGGCAGAGGGCGCGTATCCTTACAGATTTCTCCCTTTATGTGACTGTCTCACCCTCGAAGAGAATCATAATCGCGCCCTTGCCCTCAATCAAATTCCACTCCGCGTTCTTCGGAACATGCGCGCTGATGTTGATGAGGGCCATGCCGACGACACTCCCACTTGAGAGCCCCTCGGCTCCAATGCATCTGAGCTCCTCCGACCACGCGCGACGCACTGTCGCTGGGATCTGAACGCTGTGCTGCGTCGCTGGAGTCGGCATCTTGCGCGGCGGGTGTGGCTGGAGTCGGCATGCCGTGCGCAGTCGCTGGAGTCCAGGAGGAGGAGGAGGAGGAGGAGGAGGAGGAGGAGAAGGAGGAGGAGGAGGAGGAGGAGGAGGAGGAGGAGGGGGGGGAGGATGAGGGGGGAGGGGGAGGAGGAGGAGGGGGAGGAGGAGGAGCCCATGGCTGGAGTCCTGTTCCCTGGACGGCCGCCGGCGCTGCAGGTGGGTCGCCGTCCGGCTGGTCGCTGGTCGGTTGCTGAGGGCCCCTCGACGTGAACGTGGAGGGTCCGAGTGTGTGAGTATATATATATATATATAGCATTACATATAACATCAGTGATTTTTGGGGCCCTCTTGGGGTGCCATTTGGAACTCTCGTAGGGCGTCTTGGGGGCCGTCTTGAGCTATTTTAAGCATCTTGGAGGGCTCTTGGGCGGACTGAGGCCTCCTAGATGGGGTCCCACTAGATGGAGTCGCAGGATCGCCTATGCATCGGCTCCGCCGGCGTGGAGAAAATCGGGCTCCACATCGAGCCGCATCGCCGATACTTCGCCGATGTGGCGCGATGCTCCGACCCCATCTGCTCAGACCCCAACTGGGGGGGCCCTGGAGTGAAGTGGTGGTGGCACTGGCACGCCGTGCTGGCCCGAATCGGCAAGACGCTGACGTCGGCGGCGAAGGGGAAGGGCGCCCGCCCCGGCTGTTCTCGTGCGCCGGGGGCGGTTCGCCGTGCGGTGGCCAGGTCGGCCTGTGCCGTGGGCGTCGCAGGGCCGCGCGGTGTTCGCGGGGTGCAGCGCCGCGGGCAGCTCGCGCCCCTGCAGGCCTCGTGCGTCGCTCTCGTCGTACTGGCGCTCGCCGCGGGTGCTGGCCGCGCCAGCGTCGGCGCCGGGGGGCGGCGCCGGCAGCCGGGCAGGCCTGCTGCTGGCCAGAGGCAGGCAGGGGAAAGCCAAGGGGGGCCGAGCGCTGGAGGCTGGAGAGAGTTCGCCCGTGGACCGGCCCGTGCCGAGCCAACGCGCAACGTGTCAACACGGACGTTTTTTTTTTTTTTTTTTTTTTGTTTGTTTTTCTTCTCAACCCATCATGCGAGCAAGATTTGTTAGATGTTCTGTCAACGGTGTTGGTGAGAGCTCCGCACTGTGCGAAGGCTGGGACACCAGAGGTCCCATTGGCCAGCGCCGAGGGGGGGAGGGGGCCCCGGCGGCGGGAGGCCCCCGTGCCAGCACGGACGTTTTGAGGACGGCACGTGATGCGTTTCCGCACGGGCGCACCAGGGCAGCTATGAGGTCACGAACGTGGGCGCCGCAGTGCTGGAGCGGATCGCCGAGGCAAGGTCGCCGGGCGGTGCCTCCGGCATGCGCCCCAGTCGTCGCCGCTGCTGGTGCGTGTGCCGGAGTTGGGCGTTCCGATGCTGGGGGAGTGCGTGCCAATGCTGCGCAGCTGGGTGTGCCTCGTGCCGGCTGAGCTCGCAAGAGGCGTCTTGAGAGGAGTCGTGGTGGTGCAAGTTGTCTTCGTGACCGCCGTCGGGGCCTGCCGTCAGGGAGGCGGGCGTGGAGCCTGGCCCTGGTGGCCAGGTTCACCTGCGGAGGTTGGGACAGAACGCGCAGTCCTTCGGGTGGATCGGTGACGATTCTGTGACCTCGTCGCGATGTGCAAGCCTCGCCGAAAACGAAAGGCTGGGACAGACGGTCGTCCTGGGCAAACTGGGTTGTTGAAGCGCAGTTGTATTGCTCTGCGCAAGCGTCACCTCCTGTTGGGGCGCGCTGGTGTTCTCCCCTTCGCCTGATTGGACAATCAGCGTAATTCAGTGGGTATCGTACCAACTGTGCAGCGCAACTCGTTACCATCGCTCATCGGCTTCAACTAAACCCATCCCGCCGGCCTCGCCATCATAGCCACAAGACGCTACACAAGTGGCCTGGTCACTGGCTGAGTCACGGCGGCCTCGTCGACACTGGCAGGGAACGCGACGACAAGTCCTGTGACCTGATTGTCTGCATTACCGCTCCCCCTCGCCACGCCAACTTCGGGGAGACGCAAGACTCGGGTTCGGGGCACTCGGGTTGGCCTGGCGAGGCCGCCAAGGAAACGACGAGACCCAATCTGACATACGATGCGAGCTCCCACTGCGAACAGCCCACGAGCACTGGACCGCCAACGTCCAGGACGGGTCCGCCAGAACAGCGAAGGCAAACCCGAGCTCCAGCGCACTCCAGCCTTACCTCCTACCCCTCCTCCTCCTCCTCCTCCGCCTCCTCCTCCTCCTCCTCCTCCTCCTCCGCCTCCTCCTGCTCCGCCTCCTCCTCCTCCCTCCTACCTCCTCCTCCTACCTCCTCCTCCTCCTCCTCCTCCTCCTCCTCCTCCTCCTCCTCCTCCCGGGCTGCTGGGGCCCACCGGCCTCGCCGCCACATCCCACTGAAGCCCGCAGGCGTCCCGGCCCACTGCGGCCTCGCCGCCGGACCCGGGACGGGCTGCCGAGGCCCAGCGGCCCCGCCGACAGCGCCTCTGCTCTCGCTCTTGGCGTCGCTGACGTCATCGAGTTTGCGCTTCTTGTCTTGGACCGGAGGGCACGTGGCTTTTTGTTTCTAAGAAAAGACCGAAGCATCAAGGAGAGGAGAGTCATACACTGTGAAGAGCAAGCCCGGAACGCGTAGTCCGCCTCTGTCAAATCGGCGCCGGCTCTGGATGGGAGGACACGTGGTGATCCTCAAAGTTGTGGGTGTTATGCTGGTTGTAGAACTTACTCGATCACGCCAGCCCTCTCGGCGTAGCTGGTTTACGGAGTTAGTTATTGCAACCTCCTCTTTTCCTTGGACGAGATGTTCCCCTCTCCTCTCCCCTTCCTCCCTGTCCCTGGGTGTGGACGGGCCTGGTCGCGAGCGGTCAGAGCGTCCAAGATGGCCCCAAGAGGGCCCAGATAGCCCAAAACGGCCTCAAGGATCGCAAAAGATAGCCCAAGATGGCTCAAGATAGCTTCCAACATGCCCCCAAGAGGCGCCATGACCGTCCCAAGACGGCTCCAGCCGGCCACGGAGCCTCCCAAGGACCACCCCGAGAGGCTAAAACCCTTCCAACACTCAAGGAGCACACATGTTCCCCCCCAAATCTCCGAAGTATGGGATGGCTCTTATTAGTGTGACGCTTCCGCTCAGCGACTCTCTGGCTCGCTCAGGTCCCGCCTCCTTCCTCCCTCTCATCATACTCAGACCAATGCTCAGGCTCACTCACACTCAGACTCACTCAGAGTCAGAACACTCAGCTCACACTCCGACCGCACACACTCGGACTCATTCACGATCAGACTCGCTCGCGCTCAGATCCACTGGTACTCAGACTTGCTCGTGCAAAGACCCACTCGTGCACATACCTCCCCCGTCCAGATTCACTCGTACGAGACAAAACCAAGCCAAATTATATTCATACTCACGCAAAAATACCACTCACACCAGCATGATCATGCACACTAGCAATATGATCACGCCAACATGGCAGGCGTTACATTTGGGCACCCCGGGGGGGGCAGATCGGGGGACCTCTCGGGAGGAGAAACGCTGGTTTAGGTAACCCCGACTCCTGTCCCTTCAGTCCAAAGATCATGCCGATGTAGCAGGCATGACTCTTGGGCACTCCTGGGGCGAGTCGCCTGGGAACGCTCAGTCGCCACAAGATAATCATCAGACTAATCTCTCAATCAGACACTCACAGGCGGGAATGCCAAGAACTGAAATACATAACAACTTACATTCTCGCCGTTTTGCTTCCGCTATGCTCTCGAAGCCTCAAGATGGCTCCAAGATGGCCCAATAGAGCCCCCAGAGCCAAGAGGGGCCCAAGATGGCCCCAGGAGTGCCCCGACAAGAGATTTTGACGGCCTCGACGGGGGGGACTTACAGTAAGAACCCCTTTTTGGCACCCAGAAGGGCCCCAAGAGAACCCAAGGGGGCCACAAATGCTCCCAAATGGCCCCCAAAGGCCACACGATGGCCACAAGATGCCCTCAAGAGGCTCACAGAGCGTGACTGCATGCTGCCACTTATCCCTGATCAGGGCAACTCGGCTGGTGATTATTTAGGATGGGCTGGTGAGGATACGTGAAGCGTCAATCATGCCGATGTTTTGTTCTCTCGAGGTCCTCCCATCAGTCCCCGGGCGCTGACGAAGTCTAGCAGGTTCGGCCTGGGGATGGTTGTTGATCACGGTTGTGCTCAAACCCTTCTTGACGAAGAGCTGGATCATTCTCACGAACGTCGGGAGAAAAAAATATACGAGCAAAATCCACAGAATGAGCTGCTCCTCTGCCGAGTAGCATTGTAAAAAGAGCTGGGGCGATACATACTGTTTCCGCTTGCTTTGAACAAGCGGAACTCACTGGTAATGTACGTGGATCGCGTCACGGGCGTAGGGATGCATCTAGGCCAAGCGGCCGCAGAGACAGCTCATGAAAGGGTACCGTTCGAGTTAAGAGAAGATGCTGGGGACCACGGCGAGACAAGGATGCAGAGCAGGATGAATGGCGAAGAGGACATGGACGAGGATGGGAAGACAGGAGCGCAATCGAAGGCAAACGCGAAGACGCAAAAAGGGTGGGTGGAGGAGTGGGGAAGGATGAAGGAGCCGCGAAGGCGCAGAAACCCAGAGCGGGCACCTAAGCACCTAACGGCCGCCGTCCGCATTAGCGCTGTCTACGGCAGTCTGCTCCGCGAACTCGGCCCCGCGCAAGTCCTCGAACTCCTCCTCCCTCCTTCCTCCTCTCTTCTCTCTCCTCCTCTCTCCCTCCTCCTCCCGCTTCCCTCTTGCCACCTCCCTCCTCCTCCTCCTCCTCCTTCTTCTTCTCCTCCTCCTCCTCCTCCTCCTCCTCCTGGTGGTGCTGCTGCTGCTGCTGCTGCTCCACCCATCCTCCTTCTCCTCCTCCTCCTCCTCCTCCTTCTCCTCCTCCTCCTGTTCCTCTTCCTCCTGCTCCTGCTCCTCCTCTTCCTCCTCCTCTTTAATTTTCTTCTCCTCCTCTTCCTCCTTCGCCTCCTCTGGCGGCGGAGCGCGGCCCAGGCGCTTATTGAATTGGTGCTGGCGCACCCCTCAGTGCTTCGCACCAGCTCCCCCGCGAACGGCCGCTGCCCAGCGACCGCCGGCCCGAGGGCTCGGCTGCTAATCGGCGGCCGCTCCCGAGCGGGGGGTGCGCGCCAACCGGGGCTTTGATCTAGGCGCGCTCGGGGCTGGGATGAGCGCCGCAAGCGAAAGATCGGCAGCCTCGGTTGCCGGTCGCCCGCGCCCGGCGCCGCCGCGCCGCCTGCTCAGCCCCCGTGACGCTCGCCGCTCGGTCGCGCAGCGCGACCGCGCGCCGCGCGCGCAGCAGCCTGGCGAGCCCCGCGCCTCCAGCCTGGCCAGGCGAAGCGCGCGCTCCGCCGCCGTCTCGGCGTGCCCGGCGCGCTGGGCCGCCAGCCTGCGGCCTGGCGCGCAGCGCGCAGCGGCCCAGCCTTGCGCCTGCGTTGCCGCCAGCGTCGGGTCGCCGGCGTGGCGCCGCAGGACGCACCCGACCGACTTGTGCAGTCGCCGGATGGCCGCAAAGCGCTCTGTGTCCCTGGCGGGCGCCAGCAGCCTCGTCAGGGCCGGCGCCTCCTCACCTGGGCGTGGTCCTCCACCGCGAACGGGACCGCGGCCAACCCGGGGCAGCGAGCCCGCTTGCTCCGTGCAGCAGCCGCCGCTGCGGCGCCGTCCCGCGACGCGAAGCCGAGCGCGAGGGCGTCCTGTGCGAACGCGCTCACCGACCATGACCGGCTCGGCGAGGCGCGGGGCCTGGACGATGAGGTCCATCCGCGCCTCCGGGCTCTCCGGCTCGGTGTCGGGAAGCAGGACCTTCGGGTGCGCGGTGCGCCCCTGCTCCTCGCACCACTCCGCGAGCGCCGCGCAGCCCGCGTCGTGTCGGCGGACCAGTGACCTACCCACGGCGCAGCCGCGCGCGTGCCATCCCGGGGTCCAGGAGTGCACCGCAGATCCCGCCGTGAGGTTGCTAGCAGGGCCTTGGCAGCCTGGGCCCAGCTGCGCCCGCCTCCGGCGGGGGGCCCACGCATCCCAAAGGGCGCTCGCTCCTGGGCCAGCTGCAGAGCGCAGGAAGGCCGCCGCCCGGGGGTCCGCAGCCGTTCGTCAGCAGCGATGCGGGCAGCCGCAGCGAGGGAGGCCGTGGCCAGGGTGTGCTGCGTAGCTGCCAGGGTCTCGTCGCCCACGTGCGCTGCGTCGTCTCCCAGCCTGACCCGGAGCGTTGCTGTGGCCGGCTGCAAAACGCGGCGAGCCCAGGGGCTCAGCGCAGCCAGGGCGGCGGCGCACTCAAGGCCGAGTCGCCGCAGGCAGTGCGGCAGGCTGGGGTGCCAGGAAGCTGCGCTCGCCAGCTCCACTCTCGGCAGTCCGGGCCCTCGGGCGGCGCCAACAAGGAAGAGCTTCTTGCGCTCGGCGTCGTCCAGCGGGGCGCCCAAGGTGTGTTCGCACTCCGCGGCCATCGCCCCGTCCACGGCCCGCGCCTCCCCGTTCGGGATGCTGCAGCTGCGCGCGAGGAACATGTGGGAACCCATCTGCGTGCGTAGGAGGGTCAGCGCCATGTGCTTGCCGAGGCCCGCCGCGCAAAGGCTGCGCAACTGCTGGTGGAGCTGCCCGCGGGCCGTCTGCAGCGCAGCCACCTCGGGGCTGCCCTCGGCGAGGAAACTCCCTTCCGCCAGAGCGGCGGCGGGGGTCGCTGGGACAATTGGCCTAAGGTTGCGCCGCCACGTCGACCCTCCGTCCCGGGCTCAGCGCGGTCACCTCTTGCCCAGGTCGCCGCGGAGTCTGGCCGTGGCGCAGTCGCGGGCGAAGGCCTCCTCGGCGGCCAGGGCCCTGGAGGGGTCACAAATGACGGCCGCGCCATCTTGATAGCAATATCCCCTCGCTGGTTCCGCCGCGGTGGTTGCTGCCTGCTCCACGGCGCCGGCCATGCTCCACGGCGCCGGCCATCCAAAAGTAGCACAGAGGGAACACTTGGTCGGTGAGGGCGCGTCTCCCTGGTCCCAGCCGCGTTCCTTCGGGAGGGGGGTTCTACGCCAAGTCGCGATATGTGCATGTGCGTGGCCGCCGCGCGCGGGCCCAAGCGCGCCCATGACAGAAGGTACCTTCTCCCCCTCCCCGTCCCCGTCCCCGTCCCCCTGCTCCTCCTCCTCCTCCTCCTCCTCATCCTCGTCGTCGTCCTCCTCCTTCTAGTCCTCCTCCTCCTCCCCCTCCTCCTCCTCCTCCTCTTCCTCCTCCTTCTCCTCCTCCTCCTCATCATCATCATTATCGTCCCCCCCGCGCGGGTCCAGCTGGCCCGTGTAGGCATAGCCTCCGGGCAGCCAACAACGCAGTGGGCACGGGGATCCCTTTTCCGCCCTCCCGCACACAGCACACAATACACACGCACGCACACACTTTTCAAGTCGGCGGCGCACAGGATCCTCAGGCGCGGACGGCAGATGGAAGTGCCAATTGCGATCGAGCGTTGTCGAAGGCAGTGCGCAGACGTGCACACTTCAAATGCAGCAATGGGTGGTGTGAAGGAAACATGTACATCCAAGCGAAGCGTGCAGCGACCAGAACACCCAGGAGACAACCCAACTCGAGGTAGAAGCGCGAGCAGTCTGGTGCGAATTGGCGGCCACTGAATCACCAAGGCGGGTGTTAGACAATGAAGCGCAAGGAAAGAATGGCACACGCACACACACACACACACAAGTACACACACGACGAGGCACACGAACGCACAACACGCACACTCACAAGGCGCACGCGTGCACGCGCACGCGCACGCACAACACGCACAACACGCACACGTACACGCATACGCACACGCACACGCACACACACACACACGCACACCTACCCCCCCCCCCCCCCACACACACACACACATACACACATACACACACTTTTAGCTTCCTGGGCAAATTATCTAACGCAGCGAGTCTTTGCGCGGGACACGCCTATATCAATTACTGCCGAGCGTCTGCCAGTGGCTGGTCAAGGCGTAGCTGACGCGTGCGAGGAAAAGGAGCCGGAGCTGGTGCATGAAGGAAAGGCGACATGCAAGCTAGGAAGGCCCGGCGATTCCGCCAACCTCGCCTCACTTACGAGTGCGAGGCGACCAGTAGGGCAAGCAAGGGTCGGCGATGCGGTGGACCGAACCAGAGCGCAGAAGCAAGAGGCCGAACCGTGGCCAACCAAGTGGACGACCCACTTGGAGCGGCAACACCAGCAGGCAGAGAGAGAGGGAACGACACCCAGGGACCAGGACGAACCCAGAGCCGGGGGAGGAACGAGAGCGAGCGGCGGGGGAACGACCGACGACCCCAGGAGGGCGGACGAGACTCGGGCGACAGCCCGAGGGACGGGCAGGAGCGGCGCAGGACGGCGGAAGCAGGGGAGGACGATACTACCACCCGGCGGCGCACCGAGGCCAAGGGCCATGCAGCCCAGGGAGGCCGACCGGCCGGCGGGCCAGGCAGGCAGCTCCGCAAGAGGCACCATGGAACGCGGCCGAACAATGGGCCGGAGTGTGCCCAGGCAGGCACACACACGCGCGCGCGCACGCAGACGCTCACGCAGACGCACATGCACATGCGCACGCACTCGTATACTACGCACATGCACACGCACCCGCGCACGCGCACGCGCACGCACACGCACACGCACACGCACACACCCAGACACACACGCACACCCACACCCACACCCTCTCGCCCCCCCACCCCACACATGTCCACCCACACCCGCACCCACAAACATACAAACACCCACACACCCACGCACGCACACACGCACACATAACGACACACACACACACACGCACACAGACCCCCGAACCTCCCCCCAGACCCCATTCCCCCGCCCCCTCCCGCGTACCCCTCTCCCCTCCTTTCCCCCTCCCGCGAGGGGAGGGATGGATGGGGGGAGGGCTTCTTCATTTGACATTCGCGTCGCGGGGCAACTCTAAGGATCATGGGCATCGTCGGCCAGCAGCCGACACTCAAGCTCAACCTGTGCTGCTGCCGATGCTGATTAACCTGTGTCGAAGCCTACTCCGAGTTTGCCATCTGGCTGCTGCTGTTGCTGTTGCTCTCTGCGAGCCTGAAGAGGCGTTTCCCTCCCAGCCCCCCCTGACCAAGACAATTACCAGCCCAAACCACCCCTTTGGACGCCAACCTGCATGCTTGGACCTTCTTGCACGGAGCACGCCGCGGCAGGACAAGCTAGGAGAGGACGACCTCCTGCGAGGCAGCCCTGGGGTGCCACCCGCTGATCAGGCTGTATAGGGGGCCAGGCGAGGAGAAGGAGTAGAAGGAGAGAACTATGCTCTTACTATCAAGGCAGCTCTTGGGTCTTGGTGCCAGGACTTCGCCAAGGCCTCTATTCGATGCTATGCTGACTTCCAGCGTAAATGCTGCGAGTTGATGATCGGCTCCCTGACTGCATGAATTACCGTAGAGCCAACATGTAGCCGCATCGCCCGCCCGACCCCAGGTCTCACCACAATCTTCGCCTCACGAGGCAGCTGCGCGGACCTGGGCGCTCCACCATTCAACCGTCCAAGGTGGAACCA